TACTACTCTGACTGATTCTCCTCCTATAAACCGATAAACGTACATGGGTTTCCTTGTAAAAATGTCTGGTGTGGGTGGATGAATATACCTATGGTGTTGTTTTGCTTATATGTTGTTTTTATTTCATTTATGTATTTTATTTTAATATTATGATTATGCCTCTTTGCTATATTTATGTACAGCGCGGTGAGCCCAGCCCTAGGCCGGGGTACCGCGCTATATAAGACCACTTATTATTTATTATTATTATATATATATGTATTTAAATATAAATAAACATTTTTATTTAATCATTTTATTTGACTTACATCTACACCACCAAATGAGCAACTCAAAATTCAAAAATAAAAATTACTTTGGTTAATGTTAGGAAATATGAGATAAACGAAGTAATTTTTTTATGAAATCAGGAGACATGGCTAAAATATTGTTCTTTATTTATGTGAAGATAACTTTTCAGAATAAATTATAGAAATTCAAACCATGTTATTAGATAAAAAAAAAAAATAAAAAATAAAAATTGCAATTTAACTCACAATTCTACCTCAGGCGTCCAGTTGATATAGAGGATGTCTCTGCTATTACACTAGATGAAGCTATGCAAAGATCTGATGTTAATGCTTTGATTATTAGCACAGAACCTTGTCTTCATGAGGATTACGTCAGGTATTTGTTACATCTAAAAAATCAGATTTGCTTTTGAATAAATTACATTTCAGAATTCCAGTACAAGTAGTGATGAAGTACTGTGATTATCTGTTTTGTTGGAATATGTTGCGTTAAAGTTGACAATTTAAAAGAATCAAGGTGATCTTTATCTGGTATTGAAAAAAAAATGTAATTTAAGATCAATTCAATACAAATTTCAGCAGATACTGCAATAGATCAATGATACAGGTGAGATACCACTCATCTAGAAGACAGTAACTATAACCTTATTGCCAAAAAGAGGAACTATTTGAACTGAAAAGGCGTTAACCTCCAATCATTCACTAGGAAATATTACTTGGTGCATTATACTTAATTATAGTACAGTGAATCACAACAGTTGTAGAGAAAATACTCAGACTGAAACTAAGGCTGTCCTTAGGAATGAACAGTTGTGTTCACATCTTCTTTAAATGCAAATCCTAGTGTGGAACCATGAATGAAATGCAAATCTTTACCGGTACATTGGATTTGTTGACTTTGAGATAGCCTTTAGAAGATTCTAAGAGACCATGGCATTCTTCAACAGGATGAGCATTATTAAATATCTAGGGAGAAAGTCTACAATTTATGTTGCCCATGACAGGGAAATCAATGTTATGCTCAGCATGGCAAATCAGAAATTTGAAATGTTGACATCCATAAGGAGATGGAAAACCCAAGCATCCACACCAAAATCAGAATTAAAAAAAAAAAAAATTAGATTGATCTTTTCTATGAATTAGAGTGCTGGAAGACCAAAAGCTCACCAGGATGGGAGCTTGAAGTTTACCAAAACAAAATCATATGTTGGATCCATAGATAGTTCTGCCCAATGACAATCTCCAAAGAAGAATAGGAAACTCAATAGAGTGAAACTTTTAAAAGTATTGTACCAGCTCGTAGCTGGTAATGGTTTAGTTGTGTTTGTTGACAGCCAGGGTGAGCAAAACAGCTGAAGATTATTGGAGCAGAACAAGAGAGAAAGGTCTTTGGAATAGAAATCTTACCCTTTTGACAGGTGCCATAGAAGCAGCCAATTGATTAAAGCCGTGAATTCTGACAGTTGCCTTTAGCACTAATTGGCACACATGGACCATTATGAATGATGCACAAAAAGTTGATTGTGTGATAATGTGACCTTGCTTGGTAAAAATGCTTTGTCAGTTTTTTATAAACTGAAAAATAACAGTCATAAATAAATTATAACACTTAGCACCCTGTACATGCAAGTTTAATATTGGTATTATATGTACATTAATACCTTACATCGCTCGTACTAATTATTAGTGAATTTTTAAAGTAATGCATGAAATCAAGAGACATGTTGATAAACCAAAATAAAATAATGTTAATAAACAAAATCGTATTTCTAATTTTTACACACATATACACATACAATTTTATATATATGTATATATATATAAGACCTGTTTACTCATACAATTTTGGCATAATATGTATGATTTTTAGATGTCTTTTATGATTGTGAGCCAAGACCTGTCAGAACTACAATTTTAAGAGAAAATATATACATTCCGTTAGTTTTTCAGATTAAAAAAAAAGTAAATTTTAGCTCTTTTCTACATCGAGAAATGGATCGAGAAGAACTATTAGTTGGGGACCATCCATAAATTATGTTTGCCCTGAGAGGGGAAGGGGGTGGTGTTGATTTAGAAGATTTTGTGTACAGGGGTGAGGGTGGGGCGTGTCTAAACATTTAATTCTATAAAATGATGTAATGATGCTGATAATTTTCATATTGTTGCTGTGTTTTCATAATGAACTCACCAGACACAGCAACAGTAATATTAGCGTAGTCGCCCTAGTGACAATTTTAATCAATCCTCATTTATGTTTGCTTCAGTCCTGTTTGACGCAATTTTATGACACAATTATGTCATTTGGCTGAACCGTGAGGAATTAAAAATGGAGAAAACAAATGGTTTTAAAAAAAAAAAAAGGTAATGCAATCTTAACGGTTCTGCACAGCATTATTAGATGACACATATTTTATAGGACATGAGAGGGCCTTGCCTTTGAGATCTAGTTTTAGAACACACATACACACACGCATATATATTGCCATTCCAGGATTGGCCTAGGGAGTCATTCATTGAAGTGTACATAGCTACCTCATTGTCTCGTGATGACAGAAGGATGTCATATACATAAAAATATATGTTTATTTACTATTAAGAGAATGCATTGTACAATTTTGAGGAAAAATTATACGATTTAAGAGTTCCAAGTAAGCAGGTCTGTTTATATTAATATCAAATAAAAGTATGTTATATATTAAAAAAATACATTTTAAAATTTTAATATTGTTTTTTTCAAAACAGGAGAGGTCTTGAGAGTAACAAACATGTTTTAGTGGAGTATCCAGTTGCTTTGTCTTCAAAGGTTGCTAAGCAGCTTTATCAGCTTGCAGAGGAAAAAAGTGATTATATTGACTTATTTTCTGTTAAACATTCTTCCTTAAAAATTAATTGTAGTTCAGCATCATATTAGAGTTCAGTATTATATTAGAGTTTAGCATTATATTTATATTTAACTTATTATATTCTAAAGAGAAACATGTGAAAAATAAGTTCTTATGCATTTGTAAAACATAAAACTATTAAAATAAATATAGTTTTTTAGGTCATTCTTCAGGAAGCATTACCCAATGTAAATAATCTTTTTAGATTTAATCCTGCTTGAAGAAAACATAGGACTTCTTACAGAGGACTACAATGTTGTTAAAAGGAAAGCAGAGAAAGTTGCTTTAAAATCTGGTCAATACATACTGAATGGTTGGTTGTATTCAATCATTTACTTTAATTTTTTTTTTATTGATTATCTTAGTCCATTTATTAAAATAAATGTGTTGGGAGGATAAGAACTGGTGGAGACATTTTATGATGCTGGGATTTGAATCCAGAACATTTAGACTTATTTAAGTTATTGTTCTGCGTCTTAGTCATTCAAGCTAAACTTTTATTTAAGTCAATAAATAGTGAATAGTGAATTTGTTGGATATAGTTGCATATTTAGCATAGCATTAGATTTTATAAATCAATGGCTTTTTAAATTTCCTTGATCTATGGAAGTTTCTAACAAATTATTCAAATGACTGGACTGGTATGTTTATCTTTAGGTTCATTTAATGGATGGCTTGAAAACTTTGAAAAATCTGGGTTGCCCTTTATTACTGGTATTTCAAGTATTCAGAGTGTAATGACCTTGTTTGGTGAAGTGCAGGTGACTGGAGGGAAATTGGACCAATCTGAAGACAGTTATACAGCAACAGCAGATTTGGAGGCAAATGGAAAGTGAGCCAGTAACTTAAATTTGAAACTAAATGATTTTTATTTAATAACCTGGCTAGAAACATAAAACATAGTGTAACATTGAGAAATTATTTTTTGTAAGAGCACCAAATTTATAAGATATATGATAGCTTAAAAATAAAGTATTTTTAGAGATACCATAACTATGAAGTTTGTATTAACAATTCATTAAGAAACTCTAATTTACAGACCAATCTCCATAACACTGTCACGTTCAAAATCAAAAGAGGCCAGGAGACACAAACAAACAATATATGAGTTTGATGATGGAGAAGTTATTGATTCAAATAAATTACCTCCTCAAAAGACCTCCAAACCAGGTATTATGAAGCTTTAACTAACATTTAAAAGTAGTCACTACTTAAGGTTGGCTGTTGTGCGTCTCACTTGAAAAGCTTTTAACAATTTTGAAACATCATTAAAGTAAATTATTGAGGATGGTAGTAGATGTCTATGTTGTTGGAATCACAGTGCCTATTGTTCTATCCAAGTGAGACATATTTCTACTTTCCCTGTCTTTGAGACATTAGAATTATTTATACAAGTGAGGCATATTTCTCCTTCTACTGTCTTGAGATGTTAAAATAACAGAGCAATTTTTGAAAATGATATTTGGATTGTTTTTAATGAGAATCATTAGTGATGGTCCAGTCTTTTTGTATGCAAAATGTATAATTGGACTATGAGCAGAGTGATAAATAAAATTTGAGGTGAGAGAGTAGTAGGTTTTTGACTCAGATTGAGGCCGTACACTGGTGAAGTCCCCACTATTCCAGTATTGCAAGTGATGAATAAAATTTACAAATGAAAGATGAAGTATGAATGTGTTGCATTTATCAGTTTTATTGTTTAACTTATTTATTTATTCGTGGAAAGAAATAGTAAATAATGATTATATTTTATTTAAAGGGAAAATTATTTTTTAATTCTTACAAAAAACCGAAAATATTTTGATATCAGTTGTGATGTTAACATTCTTATTTTAGGGTTATTCATGAGAGATATGGAGCAATTCTATGATGCAATACTGGAAGGAAAAATCAAAGAAGAACAGAAGAATCTATCTATCAGGAGTTTGGAAATTGCAGAGAAGATTCACTCTTATTTTAATTGAATAATTTAAGTTTGATCTTCACCTAATGTTAGTGACAACCTTGTTATGTTGATCTCTTTTTTCAATGATTAAGTGAATTAATTGCCATCCAGTGTTCATAGCAGATACCAATTTATATTTGTTGAATTTATAATTAAAATCATTGTAACAGAAAAATACTTCAAATAAATTTTTTTTAAATAAATGAAAAAATAAATAATTGAGAAGCAGTTTTAAAAATACAAGCTGATGACTGACATTATATTGACACAAGTTGTTTTTAGTTATAACATGATAACTATATTGTGATTTTTTTAAATAGTATTTGCACTATTACTTTGTTTCTGTTAAGTGCCTTGGGCAATAGCCTAGTCTAGTCCTAGTAAACATGACATATGCATGTTTCTTTTTCTGTAGTAGATCTGATATATTCATAATCTCATGTTTTACATTTGTTATTTTTCACAATGAAGATATTATTAATTATTTTTAACCAAACTTTATTGAATGTTGCAATAAAATAAGTGGAGTTAAATTGTTTTTCCCTTTTATGAGTTATTGATGTGCATGTGATGAACATTGAATGATTAAGATGTTATCTTATATAACCCCTTTATGTCCAATCTACAAAGTTTACATTTTCTGTATATGCACTACATCATATATTATTCTAACTTATTATCATAAGATATATTTTACTCAAGCTTCAGTTGGGAAGTTAATTAAATATTTATTTAATATATGTATAATACATATAAGTTAGCAATAATTAACTCTACAATGCCAAAACCTTTTAAGTGAAGACTTTATTATTACTGATATTAATACCTGAAATTAAGCAACAGCTAAAACTGGTTCTGTAAACTTTTAACACAGTGACGTGAAACATCAAGAACATTTCATTAAATAAATTAGCCATTAAATCTGTTTTTCCCATGCAATCTAAAGGATTAAATTTAAGTTTCATGCTATTAAAAATATTGTAAAAGCATTTTAAAAAATGACTTTTATTTTTCTTTAATATGCCAACAAATAATTGTTTACACAAAAAGTTATTTTACAGTAATTTATCTTGCTCACAGTAAACTAAAGAAGGCTTTAAAAAATTCATTTTATTTAAACCTGAAAATCTACAAAGGAAATTAAATTAATTGAAAAAAAAATTGCATCTGTACAGATGAAGTTTTAACAAAAAATACTAATTCAATAGCAATGTATCAATTATAAAATAAGTAGTGACTAACAAAACACAAGTTGTTTTCTTGGAGAAATGAAAAAAAAATTGAAGGATATTAAAGCCTAACACTAACACTGGATCATCTGAAGCAAAAAATCTGCTGTCTGTAATGGACTAACAGAAAAATAATTTTACTGTTATTTCTTCAGCTGACATTTCTCTGACAGATATTGGGTTACCTATCTTATTATGTTTTAGGTTGGGCAAGTTTATCCCCAGGTGCTTCAACAGGCGTACTTGATTTTATTAGAGGATTGAAAAATGTGGCAGAAGTCTTAGCAGCTTCGATTTGCATTTTATACGCTTTTGCTAAAGTCTTACTTTCCTTTAATAATTCTTTAGGTACATAAAGGTGTAAAACTTTAAAATATTTGAGAACATTTTCAACATTTGACTGGCTCAGTTTCAGCTCTTGAGCAATGATTGCCGCAGTGACTTCACTTGGTTTAGTTTGATATTGTCCCAAAGCAACAAGCATACTCCGAAGATTTGCTCGACCTTCAGGTATTGTGTGGGTAGTTTCCATGGCACCAAGTTCTGTTTCTTCAGGTCCTCCTCTGGTTATGGGTAGTGATCTATTAGCAGATAACTGTAAACAATGTCAGAGAATTACAATAATCTATTATGTAGTTTTCAATCTTGTATGTAGAGCTTTAGAAATGAGATTTTATTATGCAAAATGAAAAAAAAATTGATATTTAATTAGTATAGTAGTATAAATAGTTAAAATAGTAAAGTAGTTTTCATTTTCAATATATAGTGTTTCTGCTTTAACAAAGTTTGTTTACCTGTGGAGCATCTCCTTTCGATTCAACATAAACCTGTTTTAGATTTTCATGCAATATTTCATGCCTTGTTGACTGCTCTTCAAGGTACTCAGGGTGTTCTGGTGGAAAAAGAACATATCATACATTTAAAAAATAAAGAATAAACAAAAAGAGTATGCTCTATTATATATTGCTAATAAATTTGTATGATTCCAACCATATTATATTGTATATAGAATATAAGCCAAAGGTTTTTGAATAAATTTGTAGAAAGGTAAAGATGTTTCAACAAAAGTTATTTAGACCTCATTGTCAAATCTTAGGCTATCCCAACGCCTTTTTAGTGTATATGCACTATAACAGTGGTAGACAACCCATGGCCCTGGATTCACATGCAGCTCTTTGAAGAAATCTTTTCTTGAACTTGAACTAATGAAATTTAAACAATTTTCCCCTGCTTGGGGGATCCCAAAATATTTCATTAGCAGATAAAATTACAAAAATGGCCCCCCCTCCCCCTCAAAAAGGGTTGCAGACACTTGCACTGTGTCTATATTTTCTATGCCTGTTCTGATATGTGCAAAACATGTTTTAAAAGTACTCTATATTGTAAAAGACCAAGATTTTATTACACTAAATGTCATTAAGCAATAATTACCATATTGATTCAAGCATTATCATTAGGTCCATATTAAAAAATTGAAGTATATAATGTTTGTTTGTAATGAAAATGATTTTAAAAAATATATAAATATAAGTCTTGGTTATTATGGTATGTATGTATGACTTTATTCCTAAAAAGGGAACTGATGGAAAAAAAAACACTAGACATAAAATAATCTATAAAGGCAAAGGATAATAACAAAATTATAGGTAAAAACAGTGATCAGTTTAATACTTTTAAACTTAGGCCAAATCATAACCTAATTTTAATCATAATGATTAATGATTTGATTAAAGATGTAACTCATTAGGGTTAAGGAAGATATAGTATTCATACATTTTTTAAATTTTAAAATCATTTGGCTTATCTGCTGCACCTCTACTCATTTGTAGTAATCATAGTTTTTTTATTAATACATTCATAGTCATACACATTAACATACATGATTAATGAATTAAAACCATGCCATGTCTGCAATAACATGCCGATTATGAGGCACAGCCACTGACCCCCTGGCATTACCCCAGTGACACCTCCATGTAGGGAACCGTCGTGTGGAGACAAAGATCTTGCATGGTATCTGCATTAGAATGAGCACAGCTGTATGGCATCTACCCACCTACCCAAATACAGTTGAAAATAACGTCAGAAACAGGTCGAGATCATGATTACTAGTTGTCGCGTATGGATATTAGGCATCGGAGGGCTGTGGCAGCCCATACTGATGATTCGATCATACAGCTTTTCAGGGGACTGTTCCTAGGCAACCGTTTCATCCCAGCTACTTAGTGACATTCCGGTATTCACTTGGTAGAAAACCATTTGTAGAAGCCCTATTAGAGGGCATCTGATGCCAACACAGGATGGGAAGGAGTGTATTTTGGGAAGTTAATATATGATCCATCCAATTCATATAATAATTATTTCTGGTACTGCACAAGCAGCACTACCAACCGACCAGGTGGTCCTTGGTTGATATTGTCCCACTTGCTTAGTCAATCGAGTTGAAGGTGGGAGAATGCTTCTTACGCGCCGCTTTATGGCCCAAAGATTCCTTATTTAGGTCTAGGGGAAATGAGGACATGCTGGGGAGGGTCTAATTCTAATAAACTTCGGCCATCAATGTCTTTCTCAAAATTTTAAGATATTAGATTAGATTAATGAAATAAAATTAAATTAATGCTTTGGGTAACCAGCTTTCAACAATTATTCCACATACCTAACAATAATGTAATTGTTACGAACTAGCTTTAATTACCCTCTCTTATTTTGGACAACATCTTCACTGTTGTTGGATGCTTAGGTGCAGCATCAGCAACTTTTTGACGTTTTTCAAATAGTCGATCAGTTCGATTGTCAATATTAAACTTTCTCAGTGGTCGGGTTAGCCTTGTTGCAATTTGCCCCATACTTAACACACTCAATTCAATTAAATAATCATTTATATTATATAAGCATGAACGTATTATTGACTGATCTGAAAGTCAGCGAAAACGTGAAAGTCAAAATATTAGAATAGAAATAAGAGTAGCCCCTCTTTGAAAACATAAATAGAAATCTGTTGTCTAATAGTTTTTTTTAAATATCTTAATAATGTTAGCGAAACAATTTCTTTAAACATTTTTTTTTCTCTCAACAATTTAAAGTGAACGTAATATTCTGATGCGCTCTGAGTATTAAATTTAACAGGGAAATTCGAAGAGTCAAATTAATGTATTTACTTATATATTTCATAATGCTTTAGGTATTCTTTATTGCTTATATGAATCGCCATTTTGTGAACCGTATTATTAGTATTAGGCAATGCCTAATATAGGCACTTCACTAAGCTATATTAGGCATTATTAGGCATTATGTTTAGTATAGCCTCAATCGATTTTACATTTTGATTTTGATTGATTTCTCTTGAAATAAGTAAATATTTATTAATATGATTATACATATATTTTGATTAAGAGTAAGATATTTATTGTGACATAAAGGCCGGCCAGCCATTATTAAAGCAACACTATCATTCAATACCCAATCCCATTTTTAAACGCAACAACAAAAATCCAACAAAAATAAAGAATCAGTTGCTTGAAACTGGAATGTGATCTGATTCATATTATTTTTTTTTAAAATGTTTGTAAGTCTTGTTCCTCCCCAATTTTATTTATTTGACGTCATTGCACTTCATAAACAAAACTACGGTATCTACGTGCCATACGGAGTGAACTTAACTCGCGTTGCCAACTTTGCCCTGCGCGATTAAAACAATTATCAAATTCAGGGAAAAAGTCCCACTATTAAAAAATAAATATTAAACTTGATTATTAATATTATACACATATATTGAGTTCGTTATTTATCTTAAGTTATGACATTTAGCTTATTTTTTTTGCTTGAATATTAATTAGTTGCTACTTAATTTGGTCGAAATTGCCTACCGACAGCAGCGTCATTTCAGCTCTTTTTTCCTCGGGGGTGGGAGGCAAAACTTGATCGGCTAGTTAAGTTGCTTATTAATGGAGGCACCACAGGACATAGAAATTTAAATAAAACCTGCAAATGGGGGGGGGGGGGGGGAGGGGCAAATGCCCCACTCTGCCCTACCCAAATGACGTCCCTGTTTAACAGTAACAAAAATGAGACACAAGGAATCAAGGTAGGGAAATAAAAGAACAACAAGTAAGATGTATGTGTAAGTGTAAGGTATGACATTAATTTGTGCCTTTTAATAAGGCCAATCAGGTGAAAACAGTAATGATATAAAACACCCATGGAGTGCTTCACTTAATGAGAGAGAACATTCTAGGCCAATAATAAATTATTACACAACTAGCTTCAAGTCATCAGTTACATAATTTTTCAATTTTATAAACAATTTAATTAAAAAAAAACATAATAATTGATTCTTATGTTCATTAATTATAAAGAGCAGAATCTTAAAAAAAGAATATCTCAAGCCTCAAGTACTTTCAAATTCTACCTATAATTTTCACGATGTGGATTTTTTGTTGTTGTAAAAACATGAACAAATCACATTAAAACTAAAATTCCCAGTTTTTAAGCTGATTTCCCGAATTTCACAATCGCGTTTAAAAAAAAAAATTCTATGATTTGGGAAATTCATAATAAGCTAGAAACACTGATAGTTATGTCATGTAACAGATTCGAATCTTTGATATATCTCCACTTTCAGAATAAATAACTCTAGGTGCATTCAGGACACAAGAGACACGTTCAGAATAAATAACTCTAGGTGCATTCAGGACACAAGAGACACGTTCAGAATAAATAACTCTAGGTGCATTCAGGACACAAGAGACACGTTCAGAATAAATTACTCTTAGGTGCATTCAGGACACAAGAGACATCACACCAATAATTGTCTGAAACATTTGAAACTGCTGTAAACAAAACCCGAACTAAAGTGATTAAACAGTGTCTGACGTCAAGCTTCGCCGAACGAACCACTCCTCCTCTTCATCAGTCTGACGTCATTTGGTGAGCTGGCGTCATTAACTCACAGGGAGATCAAATTCAATTTGTTTTCCGGGTATTGATTCTAGGACGATCGTAGGCAATCGTGTTGGTAGAAATTAATGAAAGTTAAATAATTTTAATTGCTGCAGTAGGGAAGCTTTGATTTCTGCAGGTCGAAAGGAGGTCACGTGAATGAGTGCGCGCCACCTTCCCGTTGAATTTGTGGAAGTATAAAATAGAATTAGTGCATTTAACCTCAGAGGCGTAGCTAAGGGGGGGATAGGGGGACAGATGACCCTGGGCGCCAGACTAGGTAGGGGCGTCAAAATGTGCTTTGATATTATTTTATTGATGAAATTATTGGGTTTGAGAGTTTGAAAAAAAGAAAGGGAAGCGCTTTAAAATGAATCTTGTCCCCGGGCGCCAAAACACTCTAGCCACGCCTCTGTATGACTATGTCTTGAATTAAATGTATCTATGTGTGGAAGAAAGATCGGAAGCGGATATTATGGAGAGGTTTGCCATATTTGCTTCTGTTAACAGTGACAGTAAAATGACAGCAATATTATGTAATGATAGTCTTATAGAGGAAGTTGTGAATAACTTTATTTTTATCATAGGCCTAGGTACTTGGATCAGGGGCGTATGTCAGTCGAGGATCTCGCGTTTATATTTTGCGTGGGCATTGCGCGTATATGTTTACAAGAGATCAAATTTGTTTGATTGAAGTCACATTGAAAGTCACATTGAAAATCACATTGAAAATCACATTGGAGGTCAAATTGAAAGTCGCGTTGAAAGTCAAATCATTGAAATTCAATGAAAGCCATCATTTAAAGTCACATCAATAAAAGTCACATTATTGAAAAATTATATTATTGAAAGTCACATCATTGAAAATAACGTCTTTGAATGTCAATGCCTGAAAGTCACAGCACTGTAAGAAATTAATATTTAACAGATGGTCATAGGGTTGCTCTTGTAAGTCTTAGCCAAGAGTCTGTTCTAGAAAAAAAAATCTATTTTGGCCGAAACGTCCACTTTCTGTACAATGCAGTACAATTAAGCACAGATTAGTACAGTACAGTAATGAGGTTCAGTACAGTATTGTTTCGATCAGTGAAAGTCAGTGCGGTACAATTCGGTCGAGTGCAGTCCACTATGGTCAGGTAGTGTGGGGGGGGGGGGAGGTTCACACCTATATTTTTTGGTTTGTTTACTCTAAAACCAGTGGTGGACAACCCGAAAGGTTTCGCGGAATACTTTAATAGTGAGTAAACTCGTTACAGGTCGCATGTCATTACCCTTAATATTAATATATTAAGATCAACACCAACTAAAGGTTGTCTTGATGTGATCTAGTCTTAAGTTACGACATTAAACGCAAATAAAATATGATAAAAAACGCAAATAAAATATGATAGAAATAAATTATTCTGTTATCATTAATCTTTTCTCTCACTCATCTTCTTTGAATATATATTATTTTTTTGTCAAATAATGAAGAACGAATACGTTTGTGAAGGATTAATCAGGCGTCCCGCAGTATGTGACGTCACGGGCCACCTGCGGCCCCGCTTGCCGCGGGTTTGACACCCCTTTTCTAAATGAATATGTTTTTCATCAACTTTCAACCAGCATGCAATGGTCGATACAAACATAGTTCAACAGGAACAAAACAATCGAAACAAAAACATGGTTCAACAGGAACAAAACAATCGAAACAAAAAAAATAGTTCAACAGGAACAAAACAATCGAAACAAAAACATAGTTCAACAGGAACAAAAAAAAATCGAAACAAAAACATAATTCAACATGAACAAAACAACCGAAACAAAATAAGCGAGAAAATTGAGGTCTTTAGGGACGTTGGTCACAAAAACCCCCCCCCCCCACCCACCCCACCCCCCCCCCCACCCAACAGTAAGAATTCAATTCCCTTCCCCTGTTTTTTTTTTTTTTTTTT